TCTAATTATGCAAATATTGAGGTACCTATTATAGCCACAGGAACAAGTAACAAGTCCGGCAACAACATGTGGTGCTCTCATGGGCATGGTATATGTATTTCTCTTAGAAATGGCACTCCTTTAAGTGAATCAAAAAATTTTCTCCTTTGGCCATCAGTTTGTTATATGCTTCATACTTCTTAATGTCAGTAAAGTGGAAATCGAGAATACTCTTACATTTTATTTTCAATAGTTTAATTGTGTTGATGTAACACCTAATTATGCATTTCTTCTAACAAGATTACCGCAGCAACGCACGGGGAATCATCTAGTTAAATTAAGAATAGGTGCCCTTTACCAAATTAATCTTGCAAATTTTGAAAGTTTATTTTTATAAATTGGTAGAAAGGTCATCAATCTTACATTCTATGGGTCATATGTGCTCTGGAAATTTGTGAAAAAAGGTCCCATCAAGTTACAACGTATAGGATACAATATTAACCATGTACAAAACTGTGCACATATATAGCATATGAATATATATTGCCTTTCATCCTCTATTTATTTGTGAACACTAGAAATACAAATGGATTGTTTGGCGCGATAAAAGAATAAAACCAGTTCATTTGGCTAATCCTATTTTTATTGTGGGTCAATTGAGCCTTTGTCAGAAAATTTTGAATGATATAGCAAAAATATCTTTCCCTAATAATATAGCGCTTATTGCTTCTGGTCGTCCGTCATGAAAATATATAGCCTTCGAAGTTGTCATAAATTACCCACTATGCCATCCATAAGTAAAATGATTCAGTTTTATTTCAAAATCGCCGCCGGTTCAGTTCTTATAGGTTGATACACTCATGTAACACAAGCGCACAGTGAGACCAATGGCTACGGCGTCGGTCTACCACACGGGAGACCAGGGTTCGATCCCTGGTTCCTACCCCATTTTCTCCGAGAGCAGCGATATGGCTCATACTACCATATAGTCATATTATCTGGGCCGTTCGATTGGTTCGGCGGCGGCGGCCGTGGCAACCGCCGTGCGAGCCGCCGGAGATTTTTCCTTGGATCCAGTGCGCATGTTCGTTTCACACACACTCCTCTGTCCCCACTCCGCCCCTCGCTAGTGACGAGCTCTCCCGTGTGGCTAAACAAAAAGATAGCTCTGGATTCCCCTGTAGCTTGCCAATCTTCCAGTCGATTGGCTCTGTTCATGATGAGGGGAGCAAGATCAAAGGCTGGGCAGCCGACTGGCTGAGAGATTCGTCGGTGGCTGCTCACGACAGTTGTGATGACCCTGGTGGCGAGGGGAGCAGAGACGGCGCTCCTGCTGAGTCCGGCGAAGCGGCAAGTCGGCTCCGGGCTGGATTAGAAGGTATTCCCTCCCTGATTAGTGTGTGTGTGTGTGTGTGTGTGTTGAGTGCACTGTTATTTTGGGATGGTGAGGCCCAGTAGTTGTTCCTCTGGTTGGTGCCAGTGATGCTGCCTGCTTTCATGTATGTTCCTCTGGTTAGGGGGTGAGTGATTAAAATTTTAGGGATGCATGTCATAGATTGCTTGCTCGACTCCCTGTTGATGTATGCATGAAAACCAGGTCTGAGTATGTGGGCTGAACGTGTGGATACAGACTAGAAAAAATTAGCCATTATTGGGTAAGAATAGCAGAGCTTATGTTGCCTGTTTGGCCATGCCGATTCGAGTTGTTCTAATTCAAGTGCGATTCTTGTGAAAAGAAAAATAGGTGTGTTCAAAATTTTCTTGTGATTTTGGTGGGGGAAATTATAGTACAGAGATAAAGCTTGATCTGGATGTGTCTGCGACAGAATATATAATTAAATTCTGAAGGTTTAGTACAGAGCATCGACGAAAGAAAAAATGTGAAAAAGATAGAAATTGTGTAGTCGTTTCTTATAAATGCAAATCTGAGAGGGTGTTTGTTTCCAGGGACTTATTGCTTTAGGGACTTAAAAAAGTCCCTATAAGTCCCATCTAAACCAAACAGGAGGGATTTATAGGGACTTAAAGTGGGCATTTGGGACTTATGAAATAAGACTCTCAAGAAGGGACTTATAGGGACTTATAGTTGTAATATGGTCTTATAGGGACTTATAAGTCACAGGAACCAAACAGATAAGGACTTTTTAGGGACTTAAGACTTATAAGTTGGGACTAAAAAAAGTCCAAGAACTTATGAACCAAACAGGGTCTGACTCTCTTTTCTTTGGTTTGGGCGGTGGGCGTTGGTGTTGTGTGTGGTGGGTTCGATTGGGTTGCAGGTTCGAGTGGGAGCAAATCCAATAGAGCGGATGCCTTGCCTCGGTAGAATGGGTGCCCTAGAAAAGTCGATACATGGTTTTGCAGAACAAGACGGGGACAAAGTTGTCAAACCAGAATTGGGCACCACATTCGACCCGCTCGTGAGGCTAAAGTGTGTTTTTTGTTGGTTGTTTTTGGGTGCAGCTTGTCTATCTTCAAGGGATGAACATGTTGAAAGCTTTGAATGGGTTTTCATTGAGTTCGTTAGGATGATGGGTGTTGTATCACCAAGGACCATTTTGACTTGTAAGGGGCTAAGGGCATCTCCAGCCGTTGGCCCCCCAGGAGGGCCAAAAAATCGCCCCCTGGGGGCGCACCGGCGCTAACGGCGCACTGGGGGCGTGATGCCCCCCAGTCGCGGCGCCCACGGTATTTCAAAAAATTTGAAGACGGCACAAACACGGCGCAAACACGACATAAACGTAGCAAACTTGGGCGAGTTCGTTCAAACATAAACATATTTTACAAAAAAAAAAAAACCCCGGCGGGCTAATCCCGCCGTCTCCCTCGCCGCCCGCCCAACGCGTCTACATGCCGAGGAGGCTGTAGAACCGCGTGTAGTCACCGCCGCCGTCGTCGTCGTCGTCGTCGCCGCCGCTGCCGCCCCCGCCTCCGTCGTCCCTGCTACACCCCTCCCCCGGTTGGCGCGGCGGGTTGGAAGGCCCGGGGACGTCGTCGTCGTCGTCGCTGTCGAGGATCACGACGCCGTGCTCGTCCTCACGCCCGCGCTTGCGGGCGGCGATTTCCTCCAGGGCCCGGCACTGCCGGACCGTCTCCTCGCGGAGGTAGTCCTCCCGCGCCCATCGCATGGCGTCCTCGTCGGAGAAGCCGCGCCGGGCTATCTCCTCGTACTCCGCGGGGAGACCGGGCTCCTTCTTGGGCTCGACGAGGCCGGGCTCCGGCTTGGGCTCGACGAGGACAAAGCGGCCGGCGGGGCTCCGGCTTGACGGGCCGCCGATACGGACGCCGGAGCTGCGGGTGCGCGCGGCCACAGGCGTGTCCTGGGGCTCCGGCTTGACGGGGCGGAGGCAGGGCGAGCCGCCGGACGAAGAGGAGGACCCCCCGGTCTCCATGCGCCTCGGGGTCCAGGAGCTTCCCCGGCGGCGTGAAAAGGAAGGGGGGGCTGGGTAGTCGAGGCGCGGCGTGTTGCCGCCCTCGATGTACTCGAGGACGGCGTCCAGCGTGCGCCCTGGCACGCCCCACCATCGACGCCGGCCGGCGGAATTTTGCCTGCCGGAGGGCACGACGCCGTTGGTGGCCTCGAGTTGCTGGGCGTGACGACGACGGAAGTAGGGCTCCCATAGCGGGCTGTCGGGGGCGTACCGCGGCGCATCCCTCGCCGCAGGCGGCAGATTCGACCTGATGCGGGCGATCTCCGCGCGCCGCACCGCGCCGGAGGGTACCGGGGGCACCGGCACGCCGCCGGCGCTGATCCTCCACGCCCTGGGCACCCGCATGTCCGGCGGGACCGGGTACTCGGCCTCGTAAAGGAGGTGAGCCTCGTCTTCATGGAGATGGCGGCGGCCGAAGCCGTTCGCCGCCGCGCCGTCGCCTGGGAAACGTTCGGCCATTGGAGGAGAGCAGAGGGAGGAAGGGGCGACGGCGGAGGGGAAGGAGCGACGGCGGAGGGGGAGTGTGAGCGACCGAGTGCGCCGGGGCGCGGCATATATAGGCCGACGCGCCGCCCACACGCGTGGCACCGTGCGTACGCGTGGCGGGCGAGGCGAGGGCGAGGGACGCGCGTCGTCTGGCCTTCACTGCGCCGCCCGTGAGCATCAATGGCGCAGGCTGACCGGCGCGGCAGCGCGGCAGCTTTGGCATTGATTCGCCGCAGGAAACAAGGCGATGAGGACGACGAAGGGCCGAGAAGCAAACTGGTCGCTGACGCGTCGGGCCCGCGGTTTCTTCGTGGCAAAAAACTTCGCCCGGCGCCCCCGAGCGCCCCCCAGCGCGCCGGGTTCGGGCTGGGTCCGCCGGCGCTGTTTTCGGCCCAAGCCGGCGAAAATCGGGCTCCTGGGGGCGCGACTGGGCCATTTTTTCGGCGCCGGCGCGAAAAAAACGCCTGGGGAGGCCTTCTTGGGTGCGCGGCTGGAGATGCCCTAACAGATTTCTGGTGCAACAATTTTAATGAACCGGGTTGAGATTTAACTTTCTTGCAGATCGATGTCGGGCGATGGAGGTTGCAGAATATAAAATGTCAGGCAACACGAACTCTCTGACCGGCGTAGCAACACCATGTAAGAAGAGAATTGCTGGGAGGCCAACAAATGCCCGAGACAAAGGACCCAAGGCCACAAAAGAACAACTTGCTGAGAGAGAGATGGATCTCCTGAAGCAACAGAGAAAGGAAGGCGGATGCAGCAATGGTGGAGTTGCAGGGCACAAGAAGACTTGCGAGCCGCTCGGTCTATACTTGGTTCCGTGCTCATCCCTATGAGGACAAAGGGCTTAGATAATGTGTGCATGCATATGGTCGTATGACCGATATGGGATTTTTTTTATTTTCTCCCCTTTTATCTCTGTAGGAAGTCCATCAATGCAGTTAGCTCAGGCAAAAAAATTCATTGTGGCACCTTATGAAATCAAATCATGATCAGACCATCACATTTTTAGTTTTTGAAATGACTTTTTTAGAAGTCTCTTATTTCATCATGACATCACTTCGACATAGTTTGTGAAATGATATAGCAAAAATATAATACTTAACAAACTACCCTAACCTGAGATAGCGCGGTAACAATGTGCCGCCTCCATAGCTCGTTATCTTCGATATTATAGGCAGTTATGACAACTTGTCCGCCAAGGTGCATCAGCAAGATAGGTGCCCAAAGCACCTGTAGACCATGGCTTTTGTGGGACGAGTTGTGCAACTGCTGGTATCTTTGCCGGTTGAAGAGCGTGGCTAGGGCAAATATCGCCACGGCATCGCTTCCGAGGAACGCGAGCCAGGTGACAAATCTGACCCATGGTGGGGCACCGGACTTGCGGAAGCCGGCAAAAATAGCGAGGACATACTGGATACCAAGGCTACTAAGAGCGAGGACTTGTAGCTGCCACTCACCCCACCATTGCACAGCACTTGAGAGTGGCAGCCCCATTCTCTTCTAAAAGCCCTCGATCTTGCTCACTTATGTTTCTATTTCTGAGAATGGTTTCCAACTGTTTACATACGGTTTTTCTTCTTATATACACGTAGGATCGAATGCTCTTGCCAAGTCCTTACGCCACGGTATGCACGATAAGCTTAATTATTATTCCGTTTTCATACCTAGATATCAACGTCTATGCTTGTCTTTGTATCTTTGGAGGCAAGTGAATCTATATCTTCCAGGAAAATACGAAGGAAACTCACCTGATGCGCGTACTGTCGTGTGTGGGAAGCTTCACCGGTCGATTGGCGTGTAGGTTAGTGCCAAGTAGTTCGTTACGTTGAAGACTTACCGAAAAAGGCTTTCACCCGCTTTATAAATAAAGCAAACCACCGAGCACAAAGTCAACAAGGTACCATCCGAACAACACACCACAACGCCACCGCAGGCAAGATCCAACACACACGCACACAAACACTACACGAGATTCAGCTGTGGGCACAACACAACAAGCCCAGCACAGAAGTGAGGCACGCACAACACATAAATGGCGGTGCGGCGAGGCGGAGAAGATCTAATCCGGCTCTAGTGGTGTACGTTAAGGACTTCTCAAGCCCGTTGATGCTTAATTACAGATTAAGTAGTGCTGGTTCCGTTCAGGTTATAGTACTCCCTCCGTCCCATAATATAAGAACATTTTTTACACTAGTATAGTGTTAAAAACGATCTTATATTTTGAGACAGAGGGAGTAGTTATCATTCAAGAAAGAAGGAAAAGAGTACTACCCGTTGCCTCTTACAAACTAAGTCAAGGGTATATGTCCTCAAGTCCTTCAAAATTACCTTGGCCGTCCATTAAGGTTTGATCTCACGGCCAACATACCATGGTACCTCTTGTGAGTACCACGTTAGTGCTGGCAGAAATGTCAGCGAGTCCTTTCGTAAAAATAAGAAGAGTGAAAAGGAGACCAGCACACAGCTTGTCACCGTGTGCTTGGTTTGAATTTCATTATCTATCCGTCAATCCGATTTTTGATTGACTTAGCCAATCTGTATTACTGAAGCTCTAACGGACTCTCCTCCTCTGGGTCGCCCCTGCCGCGGTGACCAGGGGGAACCCTAGCGCCGCCAAGCCCTCGGCCCTCTCCCCCACCTCTCCTGCCCGCCGCCGCCGGGGCGCGCCGCCGGGCAAAGCCCGGTTGGCGTCGGTGGCGGCAGGATCTCTCCTCCCCGCAGCGGCCAGACCTGGCGCGGGTGGCGTTCGGCGGCAGTTGGCGGCGCGTTGGCGACGGGGCGCGCTGGCGAGGGCTCAGGGGGCGACGGCAGGAGCTGCTTCTCCCAGTGGTCGCGTGGGGGGCCGTTCGGGGCGCGCCTATGGTGGCCGTGGTCGATCTGCTTCAGATCTGACCGCCGGCGCCTCGGGCGGCGCGGGGATCTCGGGGCGGCGGCCTCGATCGGTGGCACGCGGTGCGGCCTGCCTGGCGGGCGGCACCCGCGAGTGTAGATGGGGGCCCTCCACGGCTGCGTGGGCGGCGTGGGCGCAGCGGCGCTACGGCGGCTCCTCGATGGTCGCCCGGAGTTCCATGGGAGGCGTCGTCTCCGACTCGATCTACTCCTCCTGTTCATGTTGGCTACGGTAGCGACTACGGTCGACGCCAATACTGCCTGGATGGATCTGGCGGGTGGGCATGGATCCAAGGGAAACTCCAAGCCGGCGTGGCGGCCTAACCAAAGTCGACGCCCTCGGCGACGATTACCTTCCTGGAGGCTTCGGTGTGGATCATACGCCCCCCACCTCTGCCATGAGCACAGGCAAAAGCCTCTGTTTCTCTGTTTGGGCGACGATGGCACTTTGGTGTCGTGTTCCTTCCTGTAGGCGTCGGCCGAGGACTGCTCGGGGTGGTGGAGTTGCTGGTAGTTCGGAGTCGACGCGAGATGGCATGTAGGTGGAGCGGTGTGGCATCAACAGTATCATCGACGATGGGTCTCGGAGGCACGGCGCAGTCGAGTCTCGGCGTCCGATGCGCGGAGATGGACTCGCGCAGGAGGAGGAAGTTGTCTGGCGTCGTGGTGGCGTCGACGGTAGCTAGACCGTGCAAGGTAGATGCAACAGTACAACTCTGAAGATGGATTGATGGCAGGTGGCTGCAGCGGCCTCATACCCGGCAAGCGTCCTGGTTGAGGAGTGCGCCGGACTGGTAGGTGCCCCATACCCGGCAGGCGTCCTGGTTGGGACCTCAGGTCTTAGATGTTTAGGTTTGGCTGCGATGTCTGTTTGGTATTAGGCCCAGACTATCAGCGCCCCTTCATCGGTTGGATAGGTGTAGCGACAGTTGTTGCTTAGACGGTGGTTTTAGTCTTGTTGTTGTATGACTTTATAAGGTCTTATGAGAATAATTAATAAAGTGACCGTATGCATTGCCCAGATGCAGAGGCCGGGGGTCATCCTCCTTTTCTAAAAAAATTAAAAAAAATCCATCAATCCGATTTTTGATTGCTCAGCATATGCTTACCGGCTGGTGTACTATGCTCCAAGATTGAATTATAAATAACCGTGCCTCAGTTCACTTGCCTGATATTTGCTAGAAGCTGAGCACGTCAGCATTTTTTTTAACAATCGTCACTTCAGATGAATTGCCTTGGTCGACCTTCGACGATTATGGTAGTGGTATAGGATGGCGACCACCAGTTCCGGCTTCTGACGTCGCCCTCCAGGGTGGTCGAGGAAGACGAAGATTCTGCGCCTGGGCAGCCTTACCCACTCCGGCGGGGTAGACAAGCCAATGTCATCTGATACTTCCCCACCCATGTCAGGTCTGGGTCCTTTCTCTTTCTTGATCCATCCATTCCATTTTTTGGCTGCATGCTTGAATCAAAATGCAAACAACCAAATCCTATGTAGCAATTGATCTATTAGTTCATTAAAAAAATTGATCTATTAGTCGTGCAAAATGTTGCTGCGGCTTTTTGTGGCCTCGCTTGACTCAAACCTTGCGGCCTTCAAAGTTCAAAATATTATCCATTTACAAGGGAACATGTAATGTAATTGTTATATCTAACAATAGGAAGTAGGAGTGCCTTAGAATCTCCTCAGTAAGGTAGCTCTGAAAAAGTTCCTAGCAGATTTAAAAGAAAGAACAGAGACATCCCATATCTCCAAAACTGGGCCATGTAATAATGAAGACTCCCCTGTAAATTCCTGAACTATAATGAAAAGGCAGAGCACCTGCCATTGGCCCCCAAAACAAAAAATGAAGACTCTGCATTCTCATCCATGATGCATACACGATGCTGCAACGGCACACAGATTCTGGGAAATAAAGATGGTAGAGCAATATCAAGGGTTCATGGTCACACAGGGTGCAGTCTGATGATGGTTATGCAGGGGAATTTTATAACGGTGGTACTCGTATTATTTTTACAACCAGTTACTTATGTTCTTGATCATGGATTCTCATGGGTGCTTTGTGTTAGTGGAATTAGAAAAAAAAAATAACTAGGTGTGCGTAGTTTTGCTTTTGCTGAAGAAACTTATGGTCCTGCACTTCTGCAGGTTCTGTGTAATAGCTAAGACTGATAACCACATTCAGTGTTTCATGCTGAACTATAGTTCTATAAAGCATGACCCGCAGACTGCCATACACCAGGAAATACCATTGTCATGATTCATTGAATCATTTGCTGCTCAAGAGTGGATGAAGCCCACTCTGCAATTCCTGTGTAGGCTTGTCACTTTGCATTGTAAGGCTACTTCGAGAGCTTCTTCGGCTGCGGCAAGGAGCCAGATTGGAATTGGAAATGGCTAGCTAGCAATGTAGAATGAATGAATGATGCAGTAGCAGTATAGTCCGTGATGTGCCATCTGGACTACGTATGAATACGAGTAGCTACTGATGTGATGGGGAAAAGAACATCAGTTCGGGGGTTGCTGGATATCCACAAGAAGATCCTCAGAGCTGATGGTATTCCTGGGCTGTACCGAGGCTTCAGTTCACAGAGGTAATGCCATTCTTGTGTCATATCGCAGATGAGATTCTGACATAATTTGACACACTTTTTCCTTTTGTTGGTTGCTTTTGTAGGGAATTTTCTGCCGTAGGATGCGGCTACTCATTCCACACTTCGATGTAGACTCAAGTTTAAATAGCATTTTAAATAGCCATTCTTCTGTCATATCGCAGATGAGACTCTAACATAATTTAATTTGACATTCTTTTTCCTTTTGTTGGTTGCTTTTGTAGGGAATTTTCTGCCGTAGGATGCGGCTACTCATTTCACACTTCGATGTAGACTCAAGTTTAAATTCAGGACCAAATCAAGTACTGTACATGAATTCCTTCCGTGCAATAAAATCGATAGTTTGCGCCGAATGGTTCTTCACACTATTCAGAGGTTCTGGTGCAAAGGTTGACAAGCATGCCAAGAAGACCCAGCGTTTCACTCTCCCTCTTCTTTGCATCAGTACTGACTACTGAGAAGGTCTGGTTTTGCGGTGATTGCGATCATTTCCTCCATAGTATCACCATCTGTTTCTTGCCTCTCTTTCTTATTTGGAAGTTTAATCTGGTTCTTGTCTTGAACGCTGTCTGCCTCAAAGGAATTCAGTCCGAATCTTGTCATCAGTTTTTCTCACCTGACACAGCTAGTATGCAACAACATTTGCAGGTGCTTGTCACATAGTTGCGCAGCAAGTGATACCTGATCCCTCCTAATGTCTCCTCTCTTTGGTCGTCGGATCGTCATCGTCACAAGAGGAGATCGCATCGACGTGCTCAGTCGGGGCTCGGCACCAAGGTTGTATTGGCTGCAGCAAACTATATTTTTCCTTTTTGGGAATATCACACATGAAGCAGGATATTAGAATATTTGTTTTCCCCTGCTGTTGAAAAATGTAAAGCAGCAAATCCTGATACTTTTTCAAAAAGTTCTCCTATACTGTTAGAAGGGAGAGAGGGATTGGTGTAATAGTTGTTGTATTGCTTGAGCCTCGTGGGCATATATATATAGGAGTACAAAGACCAACTTGGAGTACAAGACAAGGCAGGAACAAATCCTAGTCTATCATATACTTCCTAATAATCCTTATACTCAACATCCCCCCGCAGTCACAACGGTAGCGACGCAGACGGTGAGACTGGAGAAGAATCCGAAGGCAAGCCGACGGACACCCCCCCACAGTCGTAACGGTCGACGCATCGCGGAGTCGTGGCTGGAGTGGAAACCAACAAGGTTGCTCAAGCAGGCGGTAGCCCTTTGTGCCGTTTGTCGATGTAGCTGAGAGCGTGTGTGGTGGAGCCGTGGTTGAGGTAGCCGTGCGAAGAATGCCGTGGTCGATGTCGAGTCGGGGTGGCCGGTGTCGAGGAAGTCGCCGTGGAGCCGCGGGCGCAAGGGTGCGCCGAGTTAGTCGTGGGCGCAGTGGTGTCGAAGTAGTGGTGCGCCAGGACGGAGATGATGTTGACGACGCGTCGCGCCGGGGTTGCCAACCCTGGGGACACATCATAGACGAAGGCACGCGTCGGTGTTGCCAGCACCGGGCATGCATAGACGGACGATGACGAAGTTGACGAAGCGCCGCGCCAGGCTTGCCAGGCCTGGGGACACATCGTGGACGAAGGCACGCGGCGGTGTTGCCAGCACCGGGCATGCATAGACTGGGACCTGCACAAGCTGTACACCATGTCGAAGAAGTCGGAGAGGCCAGCAGAGAAGGACTCGACGACGGTTGCGGCGCCAATCGGCACGGGGCCAATGTCGCCCGCGGTTGTCGGAGTAGATGAAGCGGTCGGGGTAGATGACGGCGACGCTGGCGACGAGCTGGTGCTGGATGAAGACGAACGGGGTGGACGGGCGGCAGCGGCGGCTACAGGGCTAGCGGCGGCGGCGGCCGAAGAAGAGCAGCGGCGGCGGCCTGACGGCGGCGGCGGCGGCTAGGTTATGAGCGCAGCGGCGATGCTCGAAGTAGGCGAAGAACCCTGACAGCGTGACGAAGACCGCGCGGACGGTGGTGTTCCCGCACCAAGACGGCACGGCGCATACCATGTGAGGTCGACGCGGGGTGACGGCGGAGCGGACCGCGGGCCGCGGCGCTACGGCCCGAAGGGGCGACGTAGCGGCGGCAGGCGGGTCGGGGCGACGGCGGAAGACCTCGGGGCGGCGGCGGGGACCGCGGTCCGTGACGCTGCGGCCCGAAAGGGCGACGCAACGGCGGTTCACGAGTCGGTGCAACCGCGGGGACGGCCTCGGGACGGCGGCGTGGACCGCGTGCCACGCTCGCTACGGCCCGACGGGGCGACGCAGCGGCGGCGCGAGGGTCGGTGCAGCCACGGGGACGGCCTGGAGCGGACGGCCCCGGAGCGGCGATGGACCGCGGGCCGCGGCACTACGGCCGGAAGGGGCGACGCAGCGGTGACGCGGGTCGGTGCAGCTGTGAGGAGAACCACGTGGCGATGGCGCTGCGGCCCGACGGGGCGACGCAGCGGCAGCCCGATGCTCGATCGGTGGAGAGGCGCGCTGAACTCAGGGACGATCTTCACGGGACCTGTGGAGGCGCGCGTAACCAACGGGCCAGGTCGGTCGCACGGCGTAGATGAGGCGGATCGCGGCGGCGGGCGGGTGATCAATCCGATCGCGCGCGAGGTCAGGGACGCCGCTCGACGGAGGAGTGGTGGCGGCGGAGTCCGGGGTGAGGCCGGCGACGACGGACGGCGGGAGACGTCAGCACCGGCACCCGGGCTGCCAAAACAGCGTCGACGCCCGGACAGCGAGGCCCGAACGACCAACGGAGCAGCGGCGCCCGAGTTGAGGCGGCCGACGAGCCTGATGCAGCCGAGGACGAGGCCGGCGAGGTAGACCGCCGAGCCGCCGTGCAGACGCGGCGGAGGCGGGTGACGTGGATCGATGGGCGGGCCGGCGCGCGAGCATCGGCTATGATTGGCCGACGCATGGCGCGAGGCCGCCGGGTCGCGGCGATGCAGGTGTGTCCCGGTCGGTGCAGGGCGATGACGACCGGCGCAGGGCGACGGGCGGACCGACGCGCGGACGGCGGCTGGCCCGGACGGGCTGCCTCGGCGCGCGTGGCCACCGGGTCGGAGGAGAGGCCGGCTGGTCGCGCCGGGGTCGGAGTAGAGGCGCACGGGGATCGACATCGGCGGCGGGCGACGCAAACCGATCACGGATAGATCGGAAAACCAAAAAGAAAAACGCCGATCAAAAACGACCGGCGAGAGAGCGAAAAAACCCGAAGCAAGGGCTCGGGAAAAAGACTCTCTAGGGCAGCCGGCCAACATGGCCGGCGGACGAACCCTAGGTACGGGCGGCGCGGCCCCCGGCGGCGGTCATGAAGGTCGACCGCCCCGGGGGCGGCGCACAGGTGCGGAAGCGGTGGCGGCTAGGGTTTAGGATCGACTTGCGATAGATACCATGTTAGAAGGGAGAGAGGGATTGGTGTAATAGTTGTTGTATTGCTTGAGCCTCGTGGGCATATATATATAGAAGTACAAAGACCAACTTGGAGTACAAGACAAGGCAGGAACAAATTCTAGTCTATCATATACTTCCTAATAATCCTTATACTCAACATATACCATGAAATAGAACGATTACTCTAGCACAACACCGCAATAATTCACGATCGAACTATTTTTCTTCAGAATTATAGGGGGTGGAAGATTCTTTCGGATATAAAATAGCAGAAAAATGTGCGAAGTCTGCAAGAGTGGCTTTACTTTCTCCCGTTGGGGGACATTAACAGTTGTGCAGCATCCGTTGGGGGACATGAAGCAGGAGATTAGAATATTTGTTTTCCCCTGGTATTGCAAAATGTAAATCAGCAAATCTTGAATTCATAGTTTTTTTTAAGTTTTCCTATACAAATGAAATAGAACAGTTACTCTAGCGCAACACCGCAATAACTCACGATGGAACTATTTTCCTTCAAAATTATAGGGAGCGCAAGGTTTTTTTGGATACAAAATAACAGAAAATATGTGCGAAGTCTGCAAGAGTGGCTTTACTTTTTCCCGTTGGGAGACATTAACAGTTGAGCAGCATATCATAAATGAATTCAGATTTCGCATGGTTTGTACAAAATTCATAGCTGAGGCAGGTGAGAATTTACGGAGTGCCGTAAAACCTTTTCAGGAATTTACTTAGGCAGGCGAGTCATGTCCTAACTTGTCAGTACTCCCTCCATCCGAAAATACTTGTCGAAGAAATTGATGTATCTAGATGTATTTTAGTTTTGGATACATCCATTTTTATCCATTTCTCCAACAAGTATTTCCGGACGGAGGCAGTACTTGTCAATGTAGGTCCTGAATTATAGAATGGGGGCATATTCAAAGATGGTGCCTACACAAAGTATTGTTACAAGGTGATGAATTGAAAAAAGGGAAACCATTGCCTTGGTGCCAGATTATAAAGAAAAAGAAAAGGATCTAGTGAAAATTTGAGCACCAAAGACATACTATGCACAGCCGTGCAACTCACATGATTTAAACTCGACTTGTGCCAACTTACAACATGTCATTATTCCATAAACCTGAAAACCAAGACATGCATTGTTTATATATGGGCAATGCAATTCTGGAATGAAAAAAGGAATCCAGTTCAGTTTGGAAGCCCAAGAAATGAAATCCAATAGCTGAGCAAGAAGGTACTGTAAATATGATGGCCCTACAGACCCATACCAAGAAAACAACTCCACTAACAAGAATAGAGAAAAAGTTAACATGGTGAGCACTGCAAAGAACATGTGAAATTCAGTTTAGATAGAAATAAATTGAAATTCTTCTAGATAGCTTAATTACAGAACACAAGCATCAACTTTCAAGTAGGATTACAATACCCTTCCAGTTGCAACATGCAAAAGCTGACACAAAACAAACACATGCTACATCCAAATGAAATTGTGGAGATCAGATGGAGAACAAACACCCAGTTAACAATGCTCACGTCCACAGCTCAACGATCCGCCAAAGCATCACTCATATGGAGGAAAATATCTATCTCAGTTCTGAGGGAAAAGCCACGCCGCTAGCATTTTGACGTCCTTGCATGCTACTGTCGGCAGTGGTATGAAGAAACAATTTCCATCTCGCATGTCATATACAGCACAAGAACTTGGCGCATCCTTCCAGAACCAGTCACAGCTGCCATCATCCATGAAGTAGATGCAATCCCCCTTCAGCTTGTACTGAGACACGTCAACAGATTGGGATGAACTTTGGCTGACGAACAATGCCTGGTCATCCCCAACACTCCTCACCTTCACCCAACTTCGAGACTGGAAGTCTGACTGACACACCTCAAATTCAATCCCTACTGGCTTGATACCACCAATCGTGTCATTATCACATTCACCAAATATTGTTCTCTGTACCAGCAGTAGTGCACCATGAGATTCAACTAGATACGACTCGAAGTAAGAGATGCCACCTTGGATCAACTTTAAGACACAGGGGGCACCATCAAGTAGACGCTCGATCCGAGACACCCTTAACTTGCCATTATCATTGTCCTCTCTGACATTGATTGCCAAAAGGTTGTTGAACTCGTCAATGACATACAACATACCTTCATAGAACATCATGTCTATGACCGACCCTTTGCTGCCAAGTTCACTCACCAACCATGAGCTTGAACCCGGTTGGCAGTACGCAATAGTGCAAAGAGGCCAAATTTCAACGATGGCAGCAACAAGGAGTTCCAAGCACCTGATTACCTTGCGCAGAGATATCGCAGTATCCATCTGTAGCAGAGGACCAGACATGTCTTCATCCAGGACATCACGACCATTAATAATTCCAACAGGCTCATCCACAAGACAGAAAGAAGGATAGGTTAGGAAGCATCAAGGTGATCTCGGAGAAGGGGTCCATTAGGAAACTGGTGTCATTGTGTGCGAAGGCAAGCCAGTCACCGCAGGAGATGCAATAGTTGGCACTGCTGTGGAGCTTGAAGGATTCTTTTGCCCCTTCTCCATGGGGAAAACCGAAGAAGGTACCATCAGGGAATGCAAGCAATGGTAAAGGTGGGGTCAGGCAATGCTCTTGTCTGGAGAAGCGCCAATGGTGACATACAGCAGCGAAGCGCACACGGTCAGCGTGGGAAGGGAGGCGACGAAGGACCAGACCAGCAAGCTCTGATGGCAGGGCTGCTCATGATTGTCGATGATGGTGTGTCTGCAGCTTCTTGGCAAACGACATCCGCTTCACAGAAGAAAAGAATACTTGCCAGGCTTATATCACAAGATTACCACAACGAGATCTGAGGCAGAGACGGTACGCAATATGTCGATACCACAAATATAATGTGATCCATATGCTTCTACAGTTTGACAGTTTAAGAGGAAATCATCAATAGGATTCTCTTTGTTCATTTCAAGTTTCTTGCCTTATTCACCCTCAGAAAGTCAAATCTTTTCCACACAAGTAGGAATTCGAGAACAGCTAATCACATTGCATTACGTGTTTCCACTCATGAATAAAAAATCAAATCTAGAAATGTTTCAGTTTGTACTGCAAGAGGAAGAAACCCTCTGTTCTGGAAAAAAAAAGATAGCCTCTTCTGAATTAATCCTTCAGTAAAAATCCTCTAAAATAAATCCTTCAGTGAAAATCGAGCAAACCACCTCTAATCAATCCCCAATTTATCACTTCTCGGGAAAAAAATCCCCAATTTATCATCACAAGGTCAGCACACCGCCTCGTTTTGTTTTTGTTGTCTCCAGTTTTCCGATGGAAACATATTATTGCACGACAAAAATATATTCATAACCAAAAAATGTTCACCGATTTATAAAATCATGAATTCAAATTTTCTCATGAGTTTTTTAAATTACTGATAAATTATAAAAAATGTTTACAAATTTATTTTTATTTTTGTCTATGAAAAAACAAATATTTTATAAAAAAATTTACAAAATTTTTAAATATTCATGTTTTTATAAATGTTTGTGAATTTTAAAATTCTATGGATCTTAAAAAAAATTGCTGCGAGGAAGAGATGAAGTCAAGTCCTTGTGCTCCAATACACGATGGGTCGGGGGTAGATCACCATGGCAGGGGTGAAGCGGAAGTCCCCGGATACCAAGAGCATGATTCCATTTTTCAAGGTATTGTTCACCCGGAGCGATGTTTCGCGGAGCAGTAGCGCCTCTCGAAACCTCTAGCCCATCAGCACGCTTGTTCACTGCGGAGACCTTGCCTTGAACGCTCCCCGATGCCCTCTCTTGCTCGGGATGCAGATGTGTCCTCCTCTGCAGCCCACGTGAGGGTTCTGCTATGGTGAGAGGGCTTGCTCTTGCTGGAACATCTGATGCCTCTCCTCCTTAATGGTCCTCGCCATGATTCACGTACCATCTCCAGCCTTGCTTTCTCAGTTGCACACTCTGCGGACTCCAGTAATGCCTCGAGGTATTGGCCTGGAATCCATCATCGAGGGGAGCGAATCGCAGAGTGGGTGTGGAGGAGGCCAGAGATCGAAAATCTCCTAGATCTTGGTGAGGCTGCTCTTAGAACTATCCCTAGACCCACTCCTGAGTGAGTTGGGGAGTGAGCACTCGAATGCAGGAATGAGCATGTATGAGTAGGAGTGGAGTGGTAGTGGAGCTCGCCAGTCGGAGGAGAAATGTGGGGAGCAGGCCGGGTGGTCGATGGAGTCACGAGAGTGATATTGTTTTCGTGTATATGAAGGTGGTTGGTTTCCGAGAAACGCTCTAGTAGACTTGGTATATATCTATTCCCATGGGGTATAACCATCCGATAATATACAATAACTCACAAACAAGTCTCATGTCGGTACATAAAATGATGTTGCGATTGTTCAAAAAAAAAGTTTGGTCAATATGTAGCTTCAACTGTATCTTCTTTCACACCTTTCGAGCTATCGTACGATGGATGGAAGCGTCAACTCAACTTAGGGTATTTCCTTAGGTGACATGAGACATGCCCCAAGTCACTTTGTGATAATGCTTGCTTTGGTAACATGCCCAGAGGGAGATGTCTGAAGTCAAAAATTTGAATCATCACCGTTCCTTTCGTGGGGAAGATATAAGCAGCCCACAATCTTTTTGCGGTGATCGTGTACTTTGGGTGGAGGCGTAGTTTTAGATGTAGGCAGTGGCTACCGCAGACGCCTCTCCCCCGGGATTGACCCATCATCTCTCGGTTCATGTGCTAGTATGCACCACCCTCAATCATACTTGCAGCATACCATTGATCAAAGATGTTTTGTCTCAGTGTGATATGGCTGCATTATAATTTTCCATTTACTTGTGACGGGAAGCGGAAGCACATTCAGAAAAAATGCAGCTACAAACGGACTTATTAGAGCCAGTCATTTTGTCTCCGGGTGACGCTGATATTCGGCGTTGTAACTGAAAATGAGGACATTACTCTTCATGAAAATACTATGACTGACCCTACGGAAATATAGGTGCATGCTAAAACAATGTTAATAGTGTAAATTTTTGCTAGTGTAATTTGAAAAAAAAAATGTTGGTGACATTCAAAAAATATTCACATGTTTCAAAAAATGTACGCATCATTTTAAAACATTATACAATGTAAACAATTGTTGGTGACATTTCAGAAAAGTAGTTCATATCATTAAAAAATAAATCATACAATTTAAAAAATGTTCACGCATTTCAAATATATTTTTGTGACATTTTTAGAAAATATCTGTACAACGTAAAAAAATGTTCGCATAGTTTTCAAACATGTTTTATATCATTCAAAAAACTTTTTCCCACATGTAATTGAAAAATGTTTAATACATATTGAAAAATGTTAAGCATGTATTTGAATTTCTTTAAACATGTGTAAAAAATTTTAATATGTATACAAAGGTACACAATGTGTATAAAAAGCAGACACCAAAACAGTTATTTAAAGAATGTGAATCAAATATTTGAAAAATATTAAATGTGTATAAAATTTTATCATGATGTATACGGATAATGAATGTACAATGTTTATGAAAAATATAGACATATGCAGGAGAGAAATAAAGGACCGGTACATACTGAGAAAAAAACAAAGAAAAACGGGGAAAAGAGAAGAAAAACTGAAGAAACCAGGAGAAAATCAAAGAACATCGCTGCAAAGAGTGAAAATCCAATTAAAATCCACAAAGAAAAAAAAACTTGCAACACTGTAGAGTAATAGAATGACCTAATAACGTGCTTTGACGTTGTTTTTTTTTACTGAATCTACTTATGTGTGGTGCGTTCGAGCGCACTTGCACGGCGCGTCTTTGTCTTGCCTTAAGCGAGATGTAATTTAACGTCCTGCAGACACACATACATCAGCCACACACACTACGCATGTAGCCTCGTACGCTAGCTTCCGATTTTTTTTTCCTTTTCTTTCTTATATTTTGAAAAAAAATTGCGGGTGATATTTTGAAATATTCAAAATAAATATACTTCAAAATAAATAATTTACTTACATTCTCAAAAATGTTCAGCATCTAGAAAAATTATTAGCATAATTGTTTAAAAATAATTCATACAGTTTGAGAAATGTTCATGAGAATTTGAAATTTTGGGCATTACAAAAACATATTCGTGGCATTCTTAGAAAATATTCGAAGGCGGACTAGCCTGGCCCCGCGCTGTCACCGCCGGAGTCGCTCCCAGCCTCATCTGCGGCGGCCATCACTCACGCGACCTGTCGTGGGAATGCCGGAATGGGAGTGAGCGGAGAACCTTTTTTTAGACAAGTTTTTTTTGAGACAAGTGAGCGGAGAAGTAAGGAAGCCGCCCATGCGTATAACAAAGTGGACTCGTTGTCGGCTATGGATTATTGGGCCTGACGGCCTATCTTTGTCTGGCTAGGTTGAATCCTGATACTACCATGTTAATTAATCAAATTTAAATGTTTTAAAGTTTTCCAAAATGGTTTGTGAATGTTCCCAAAATCATGTTTCTACAATCCCTAAAAGATGAAATGCAAATCAAATGATATAGAAACAAATAAAAAATAATTTATTTATTTATTCTTTTATTTGTTTCTCTACGTGCATTTCAAGTTTGGATATGAAATTTCTGTAGAACTTATGGACACATGTTTTGTGAACGTACCTTATTTTTAATTTTTTAAACATTTTGTGGAGTTCACAACCTTTGGGATGTTGGATATGCTGGGAGCACGGATCAGAGCATGTTGCAACATCCACACCCTACCAGTCTGGTTCTAATATGTTAGTGAAGGTCTCCGGGCTACCACATATAGTGATCTCTCGTATAAATATTGCTTTTCGATACACTTTAAGTGATGATGATCAATACATCGAGTTGCATTGCCAAAACTTTCTTTTCCAACACTTGGCACTCATATCCTGAAGTATACTAGTCATTTTGGCCATGTCATCGGTGATAGAATCATGAGCTATGCTTACACACGGTGTTCTCCATATCACCTTCCTAAAAGGCACACCTAGAGAAGAACCATGACCTGACCCTAGTATGTTGTATATCTGGTCAATCCTGATGTAGTTCTCCCTGAGGTGACGAATAAAATCCATTGCTAAAGTGCTTATGACGCTATGTCATTTCCATTGTTTTTTCTCACAAAAAATCACAGATAGTGGGTGATTGTGCTTGTTAATGAAAACGGTCACATACCATCCATGGTCGTCAGTTTGATGTAGTCTTATACGGGCTTCACAATCAGTGTGGCATGATGTTGTGTTATGCCCTTCTTCTTTGCCCTGTGATAATCATGAAGACACAGAGTCATAGGCAGAAAAAAAGTATGTCCCATT